CGCGTGTGTGTGTGTGTGTGTGTGTGTGTGTGTGTGTGTGTGTGTAGAAAGGCCACGCTGCCATCATTCCGGACAGAGCACATTATGGATGCCCGGGAATCGGTAGACTAGTTGGCGAGAAGTGAGACCATCCCCACCCATTTCTTTTCTCTGTAAAAGGTGAGGCAGGACATCGGCTGGGATCTATCAACTTTGGAGAGTAGTACATGCATAGTTTCACCCTCTCAGCTGTGAATGCTGGGGTCGGGGCGCGGCTGTGTTTACATGAAGTGAAATGTTTTCAGAGGCTCCGTCCTCCAGCCCCACACCCTTCCTGGGCCTTAGGGGAGGGTAAGAGGGCTTCCTCCACACATGGCAAGGGACCCGCCCGCTCTAGGGGACAGTGACAACAGGGCCACATTCCAGGAATACAGGTAGAGAAGCGTTTCACTTCTGAATCAGGATGGGGGACAAGACCTTCCAAAAGGGGAAGGAAGAAGAGGGACCTCAAAAACCAACTCCGCACATACTCATTAGGGACTTACCACAGCATGTCGCTGTTCCATCTATGGTGGCAACATGGTAGTAGACTTTGCAATCAATGTAGTGGGATCAAGTTCAGCATCTTAAGAATGAAAGAGAATGGAAGAGCTTAAAAAAAAAAAAAAGAACATTTGACCATGGAGTTCATAGATACACACATACGTGTGTGCGCTGTCATGAGAGAGGGTATGGTCACACTGTCAGTCGTTGAAGACATACTGCTGGGGGTTGCAAACATTCAGAGCAGTCGTCCCCAAGTTTTGGAAAGACAATGTCCCCTACAGTGCTAGGCTGTGGGTCGACTCCACTGTAGTGCCCTCTGAAACATGCCGCGTCTTCCCACCCCCAGAAACCTTATCCACAAAACGCATGTCGTTTTCTGCCATGAAATGCGTAGTGCATTAGTCTGGTCTCCTCACATTATAAATGCTGCCATTTTCAGTTTTTAAATCCCTCTGTATTTTCTCTGGAATTCATTTTATGATTCGCAAATGCTGCTAGAAATATCATATACCCTGGCTTTCTGTTTCTAAATCCCTTCTTCCTGCAGATACCAGCTAATGAAGTCAGCGCATGCAAGCTGTGATGAGTTGAAGGGAGCAGCAGAGACCGCACTGCTTCACGCTCTCTCTAGGAAATCACAGGCTACTTTGCTTTGTCATTTCAATATTTTTTTCATCTCCACTGGCTTTCACACTGCATAGAAATACCCCTTGGGTTAGTACGAAGTGAAGTAGACATATTCAGAAGCCACATTTAGAAAAAAAATAAAAAATAGAACAAAGTGCATATGTCTTTCAAAGGCTTTTTGCTGTTCTAAATATTTCATCAGAGAAGTGATTGCAGTGTAACCATAACTCCTTCCTTTTTGCAAAGTGATCATATTTTCCAGGGAACTATTACCTTTCTTTACACTTACACTCTCACATTTTCCATAAGAAACACTCTAGAAGTCTAAATTGAAATCCCACATATGATTTGCATTAATTGTATCTGCATTTCATGTCCTCCTTTTTGAAACAGAAAGTGCAGTTGCCATGGGGCTATAACCTATTGATGCAACGCTCCATCCGTGTTACCCCATTTAGATTTTTTGAAGGGCTCTGATCATATTTATTGATTTTAAAACTATCAGAAAATACGATGCAGGTTTAATTTTTATCCACAGCAGAAGCAGGGAACGCCAGCCATGTGCCCGTACCCACCCCAGCAGGGTACCCCCGGGGCACCGAGGCAGCTGTGCACAGCGTTTTGTTTGAAACCCTGAGTAAATGTCAGTGAGCTGGGCAATTTTTCCAGGCCCATGGCAGACACCTATTACTTTAGTCACAGCTGCCTTTGAAACAACGTTATTCTTAAAAATCATGGAAACCTCCAGGGCAGCGAGTCTTGCTCTGGAGATCTGGAAGAATGTTCTGAGTCAAAGGGAAGGGAGCAGCAAGGGTTAAAGAAACGCTGACTCGACAACTGATGCTATTGTGGGGGCAGAGGGAGGGGCTCCCTTCAGAAAACCAGTTTGTTCCCACAGCTTCAGGCATCGGGGCTGGCACGGCAGCCCCGGGCTCTCCGAAGGCCTCGCTTCCTCCTGGACTCCGCTGGAAGCCCTCTGTCCCCCAGGGGACAGGCAGTGCCTTCCCACAGACCCCACCTCCCAGCCAACCAGCAGCCGAGGAGGTGTGATGTCCCCAGTCCACTCCTACTGTCATGAAGTCCCTTTTCTCCTTTGCTGAAATCCATGAGACCAACACATGTGGATACAGTTCTCATCACCCTCATTCCACACAGCCATTCAGGCTTCGCCTCCGGCCGTCGAGGTGGAAGACATGGGCACCTGTGCAAAGTAACCACCCAACTCACGTGACCGTGGCTCCCTGAAGCTCTCCGCCCCAGTGGCTCCCAGACTCAGGACACCACGGCACCCATTGACCATGGCCCATAATTTGGTCCCCACCCCGAAGCCCGAAGCCCAGTGTTGTGCTCTGGTGACAAGCTCTGCACCCCCAGCGTGCTCACCTCCGACTCCACAGTGTCTGCTCTCGTGCCTATCGGCCTGTGGCACTTCCGTTTATAACTCCCCNAAGAAAGAAAGAAAGAAAGAAAGAAAGAAAGAAAGAAAGAAAGAAAGAAAGAAAGAAAGAAAGAAAGAAAGGAAACCAAAGAAAGAAGGTCTAAGGCACAAGAGCATTTATGAGATTTTAAAACATGTAAATCTAAAACATTGCCACATTCACTCAATTAAGTGAATGACCTTATAGATCATACACTGTTCTAGAAGCTGGAGAGTATTAGAGAGCAGACAAGAAAGCATCCTTGTCCAAGCAGAGTGTAGATTTGGGTGGGTGGAGACTGACAATAAACTAGCTGAATCAGATTATGATAGAAAGGCTACAGGCAACAGTAGAGCAGGGAAGGGCTCAGCAAGTAAAGGGGATTAATAAGAAGCAACCAGAGGGATCAGGGAAATCAGAGGGTTGTGAGGAGGGTGTGAGCAGCTATGCCAAATGCTGCTGAGTGTTAACAGGGGGAGACCAAACGAGGGACATCAGAGAGTGTGACATGATGTATTTTAACCGTCAGGAGCATGCTCATTGGAGCTGTGGGGACCAATGGACCCCAGGAGTGGACTAAGGCTACCGAGGCTAAGTGGATACAGCAGATGCCTGCAAGCCTTCACGAAGCTTTGTGTGTAGGGAGCTAAGAAGCAAGGTGACAGCTGGAGAGGGGCCTGCATTCAAGGGTGAGGCGTGTCAATTAGCTTTAAGGCGGGGCGTTGCAGGATGTCTGTAGGCTGAAAGTGAAGAGAGAAATCAATGATGCAGGGGAAGGGAACATAATCACCGTGCAAAATATTCACAAAGGGGGCGGGGCTAGAGTCCTAAGGCAGGAGTTGGCGCGCGCGCGCGC